CCCCCCCCCCCACCATCAAAGGATTTCTGAGGTTGACTTCATGAGTCTCCCTGGCAAATCAGGCTCTGTCGGGGTGGGGGACATGCTACACTAGCCTGTCTTCCCTCAAAACCTTCTTGGTGCCTCCCTGTAGACCAAGGGCTCATTAAGGGCCACAATGGTGTAGCGTGCTCTTCAACTGGGAGATTTCCCATTATAATCGGCTAAGGGCTCCATCCTTTCCGCTGTTACTGCAATGGGGCGCTTGATCCAGCCTGAGAACTGCAGCAGGTCGAGCCCAGATCTACCTGCGTCAGACAAGCGGATCTGCACTTTCCCTCTCCACTGAACTTTGGATCCAGATCCACTCCTAGGCTTTGCAAACCCTAACGTCCAGCTAGCTCCAGGCTGAGAGACAAGCTGCCTAGGGGTCTTAGGAGCTGGTCTTAGGAGCACACTGGTGTTAGGAGCAATGAGTCGAGCTCCTCCAAAGGTGGGTGCAGGGATGATGGGCTTCCCCTGGTGTTTGTGGCTCACAAGCTTAGGAGACCAGCAGCTGAGCAGGTCGCCCTCCCTTTGGTTCATTTGCCTCTTTTATTCATTTCCATGCCAATTGACGGGGGGGGAAAAGCCTGTCAAATGGGCTAATGTGCCTGACATCCTGGTGTTTGGGCGGCCTCTGCACTTCATATAGAAGTAGGGGACTTGCACAGGTCATCATATCCAACCCCCTGCCCGACGCAGGGTCATCCCTATCATGAGACAAGGCAGCCGGATGCAGTGGGGGGGAAAGTGGACCCGTTGCGCGATGACCTTGTGCTTATGAAGCAGCAAGCATCAGTCTAACAGCACTCTCCAGGACTCATGATGGGACTGTTTGCACCCAGGGAAGGGTCCTGCCCCTGGCTGGCCTTGCTCTCCTGATGGAGGCAACGTTGAAGGAGGACATTGCAGGGGAGCACGCGGCTGCGGGCAGGAGGAGGAACAAGGACTTGAACTGGGAGCCCTGCACCCCACCTGCGGGCCTTGACGGCTCGGCTGTAGAGGCAGCCTTGGCCCCTCGCTCTCTCTCTTTGGCCTAAGGAATATTTAATTATTCTGTCAAATGGGGGGCATTTCCTGCGGGAGACACAGAGGCCTCCTTCTGCCATAACTCCGTGGTCAGGTCACTTGGCCCGTGAAAAACCCAAGTACGAGTTGGGGCAGCAAAGTCTACGCCAAGGTGCCCTGCTGAAGTGAGCCCTGAGAGCTGAACGAGGCCCAGCAAACACAGAATAAGCTTCACTCTTAACATTAGCTACAAATATGGCCCCACCACCACCACCCAGGACCCTAAGAAGGTTATAAATAAATAATTACATGATTGGGAAGGGATGCCCCAGCTGAAATGACCTTTGAAACACCACGTCCCCATTCAGCCCCATGCCATCCTTCTTTCCCCACCCTCCCGCAATGAATCGCAGGCTGTTCCTCCCGTCTGCCGTTTCTAGGCCTTAGTCCATCCTTGGTAGAGTCTGGTGTAAAACAGAAAAAAGAAAGCACAGCCCACTCTGCAAGAAAGAGACGACGCCAATGGTGAAGGTTTTCATGTCGCAAGCGCGGGCTCGCAATGCCGCGGGTCCCAAAGAGCTTAGTCACGTGGACGTGTTTGCCAAGGCGTCTTCTCAGCAATGACTCACGACCGCTCCGGTCTCATGCATGGAGTTGATTAACAGCTAGTAGCAGCAGATGAATAATCAAAAGAAAGCCACCCACTGGGTGGAAGTAGGTACTGGCTGGGAAAACCATGCCTTTCTGGTTCGGGGACGAGTCCTTTCCCCCCCAGCTGTAATTGTCATCATCTTGGATAATAATCATCTGGGACTCCTGAGAGGTTTCTGACTTTCAGAGCCGTGTCCACAGTTTTAATGTACTTGCTGATCATTTTCCTCATCTCGGGGGTGTAGGGGTCGTACTCCAACTTCCTCAGCCCAGAGCGCTTAAAGTTCCCGTCCTTCTGACTCTCGACGCACAAGAGCCGGTCCTCAAAGACCATGATGCCCAAGAGGCTGACCATCCTCTTCAGCTGGACAAAGAGATCCCGCTTCAGGTCCTCAAAGTGTACCACCAGGACGTTTTTGCCGTACTTCAGCCAGTCCAGGGTGTGCGTGGCCCACCAGGGAGCGTAGTTCTTGACAAACTCGGGCCATTCTGCAAGAAGAAGGGAAATCCATTAAAAGAACTGGTCGCGCCACTAGACGCAACGCAGATGGCCCCATGACCACCTCCCGGTTGGTAAACATTTACCCTCTGGAAACAGAAAACAGGAGGATAAATTCTGCTCGGTTTTATATCAGCCACTCGAGTGACGACAGATTTTGTTCGAAGTGCCATGACAGGGCAGCCAGGAACGGTGCAACGTAACGGGAGGGTGATGGACGGGCCTCGCCACAGGTCAAGGCCACGGGTGATTTGAAGGAGAAGAGGGGAGGCACCGGGGGACGCAGCCAGGAAGTTAGGAAGCTGGAGGGAGACAGGGACACGACTATATGGGAGGCTGAGCGATCATTTTTAGATGCACCTGCTGTGGATCATGGGGTGCACCGAAGCTTAGCTATTGAAAGAGCATCCTTCCACCCTGACCCATGCAGCAGAAGGGATGCTGAGGCTCAGCGCGTTAATGA